GAGGGGGAGAGGGAGATGAGGGGGAGAGGGGGAGAGGGAGAGAGGGAGGAGCAAGGGAGGGGCGAGGGAGGAGGAACAAGGATGGCAGGGTCAAGGGCGGCAGGGTCAGGGCCGGTTGTCGGGAGGGAGACGGGGCATTGATGGCGGTCGGCACAAAGGGGGAGGCAACACAGGGCAGAGGGACACGCACTGATGATGAGGGCCTCGCGCGCGGCGGCGGAGTCATCGCGCACGCGCACGAACTCCTGGATCAGGTTCTTGGCCAGGTCGTTCGAGCGATCCACATACAGGGGGACCGGGGACACGAGCGACAGGCGGATGAGCTCATCGACCTGGCCACGGACAGGGGATCGGGGCGCGGCGGGTGGGAGGGGGGGGGGGGAACACGTCAGCATGTGGGACCGGGAAGGGGGGGGGGGAAGGCACGGAGCAGCATCCTCTGCTCCGTGCCTCGTGACCCCGGCGGCGAGAGGGGACAGGCACGCACATCGTCGGTCATGGACGCGGAGAAGAGCATGGTCTGGCGGCCGCGCGGGCAGTTGCGGATGATCTCGTTGAGCTCGTCCTTGAAACCGTCCTCGAGCATGCTGTGCGGCGGCGGCGGCGGCGGGCGGGCGGGCGTGGGAGGGGCGGAGATCGAGGCCGAGGCATGGGGGGGGGGGTCAGGGAGATCGGGCGAGGGGGAGCGCAGGCGGCGCGATGGGGGCCACGCACCGATCGGCCTCATCGATAATGAGCACCTCGATGGAGGACAGATCGAAGGACTGGGAGTTCTGGATGTGATCAATCAGACGACCGGGGGTGGCGATCAGGACGTCCGGGCGCTTGCGCAGCTCGGCCTCCTGCTGACGGGTGGACAGACCACCTGTGCGGCGCGTGGGCCGATGGGAGGGGGCGGGGAGACGGGGCCAGGGGTCGCCGGGGAGTGAGCAAGGGGGGCACATTCCACCGGAAGGGGAGCAGGAGGCAGGGGCGCCACGGCCCGCGCATGGACGCACCAACCAGCAGGGAGATCTGGATGTCGGTGAAGGAGGCCAGCTTGGAGGCGACACTGTGGCACTGGACGGCCAGCTCTCGGGTGGGCGTCAGAACCAGGACCCGGCAGGCGGCGACACCGCGCGCGCGGAACAGCAGGCGCTCCAGCACCGGGATCATGAAGGCGGCGGTCTTACCGGAACCGGTGACGGCACTGGCGCAGATGTCCCGGCCGGCCAGGGCCACCGGGATGGCGCGCGACTGGATGGGCGTCGGCTTGCTGAAGCCCAGGGCGTTGATGGCGCGCAGGATGGGCCGCGAGAGGTTCATCGTGGTGAAGGTCTCCTGGACGGAGATGTCCGACGCATCGCCGAAGTATTGCTTCTTGCGCTCCTGTGTGTGTGTGCGTGTGTGTGTGTGTGCGGGGGGGGGAAGAGGACTGGGGTGCGCGTGGGGGAGGGGGGAAAAGGGACGCACCTCGGCGGCCTGGTCGACCTTCTCATCGTCGTCCTCATCCGACCGGACGGCGT